GGTTACTGTTGCTGACAGAGAGTCATGGAACTCTGCTCTCACCCACGAATATGGGTTCCAGTGCAAAAGGAGGCTGGTCTCCCAATTAGGGAGCTTGCCGGAGAGGAACTCCTTGTCCGGTGGCGGGGTGGGGGGGGGGGGGGGGGCCTTGCTCACGTGTCCTTATCAAGTCATGATGTTGGCAGACGGCCACAGTGCCTTTCCTCACGCAGCTAATCATTAGCAACTTAATAAATATAAATCTCAATTAGAGATGTAGAATAAAAAAATTTACATATTTGCAAATTTAAGATAATTCCTGTATGTTGACCATACACATTATGATCTAAAATTTGTCCAGGATAAAACAGACAGATGAAGCCACATAAATTAATGACATAAAATTCTAACTTGCTTATGAATCTAAATGTCAACTACTCTCCTACAGCTATGACGTTGACAGCAGAGGCAAGGGCCATTTTCAACCAGGACAACAATTAGAGACGATCAAGAATTAGGAACAGGACGCTAGTTCTCCAGACTTTTTGTTGGTCTTCCTTTTAATTTTGTATCCAGATGCAACCATGGCAACAAGGACTGTTATCGAGAGATGAAGGAACTGATGTGCGGTAACTGAGGCCTGGGTAGAGCTGTCCTAGTCGCCTTCTCCCACACTGTCCTACCTCCTGCCAACAGCTGAAATTTGCCATTTCTCTCCAACTTCACTCACTGCCCCAGGGCGGCCGCCTCTGAGCTTGCCCACTCCTTCCTGATCTACACTGTCATGCCCAAAGGGCTCTGCCTTCGAAGCACTCATCACCCCCAAACTCATTACTTGTGCAATTCCTTTTTAATGCCCGTGTTCCCACCAGACTCTACCGTCCATGAGAACAGGCAGCCACCTGGCAGATCTGCTCCCTGCTCTCTCCCTGGGGCTCAGCGTGGTTCCTGAGACACAGCGAGGGGAGGTGCCACGGTGCTGAGGAGTCACCCCCAGGACACGAGGACCACAGCAGTGCGGAAGGACAGCATGCTCTGCCAAAATAAGCAGGATATTTCCAATCAAAGGGATCCTAAAATACTCTCAAAATTGACTAGGGAATGAGCAGTGATCTGATGGCAAACGAGAAAGAATGTGAACGAGGGGTCTTAACTCTTTTAACTGTTTGGAGGACTCATCAGGACGACTGTGCATTTAAATGTTTATTCAGGGTCTTTAACCCGAAGGAGCTTTTGGAAGGAGAAACCACATCACTTGGGATGTTGGATGTGGCAGACGACAAGATGGAGGAGCCGAGTCACACCACTGCAGGAGATGAACGGTTGGGGCGGAGGGGGACGCCACATTCCGCTGTGTGTGTAAAGCCTGGGACGCCAGCAGGAGAGCTGCTAAACCAAACCCAGATTCTGGACATCAGCACTGGCCATGAAACCCAAGGCCTCCAAGGTTTGATGAACCCCGACTGCTAAGTGTCACAGAAGCGTCTATGCAGGCAGATAAATCTTCATAGTGACACCAAAGCGAAAGGGGAGTTCAGAGCGCTATTCAGCTGCAACAACGCAGTGAAAGATACATCCCGTTCTCTCACAATTTAGGCTGTTCGAATGCCCCAGAGCACTCTCCCTCAACGGAAAGTGTCCATCTCAGGAGCAGGGTTCAGTGCGAACAACTGAAGACGAAGACCAGAGAACCTCAGAGGGCATTCTGCAGAAATAATTCCAGCCTCTAATTTATTCACTCACTCAACAAATATTTACGGAGTTTCTGCTACGTGGCAGCCACCAGGGTAGACGCCAGGGACATCGCTAGGGATGAGACTGCACTGTCCGTCTCTCTGCCTGGCCAGGTAGGCAAACCGCCGAGCACCAAGTGGGGTTCTGAGAGAGGCAGACATGGGTGCTTGGTGCAGGGTGTGTGCGTGAGAAGGGCACCCCAAAGCCGGCCTGGGTCAGGAAGCGGTGTCTCCTACAGCCAATCTGGAGGGGCAGGAGGAGACGGGTGAGAAGGGGCCTGGCCTGCCAGCACAGCGGCAAACGGGCCAGAGGGAGGCAACCCCATAAACACCAAGACTCATGTCCTGATACTGTAGACACGAGAGAGGAGGGCAGAAGCTGGGATGGAGGGGAGGGGATGGAACCGAGAACATTCTGGAAGCAGAATGCCCAAGACTCGGTGACCCAGTGCTCTGGAGTGAGCAGGTGAGTACAAGGTGGTGCTGCTTACCAAGAGAAGGAACTCAGGAAGAAGGCGGTTTCCTTGGGGCACAGTGGTGGTTTCGGGGTGCCCATCCGTCACCCCGGGGGGATGTCCAGGAGGCCACTGGGTATGAGAGCTGATACTCAGGAGTGAGAAATGGACCAAGCTTTCGGAGCCCCTAGCGTGACCCTTCGTGAATTCTGCCGCAGAGGACTCTGGGGTGGCTCTGGGTCAGCAGACTTGTGGGGTCACGCAACATGTCACACCTGTGGTATGCCAGGCCTTGCTCCAGGTGCTGGGCGAAGAGCGATAAAGCACAGCTGCCCTCAAGGAGCCGTCACTCCAGTAGGACCAGCAGGTAAGACACAAGAAAACACACAAATACAAGACTTCCAGAAGGGGCGGTGGGTGGGGGTGGTTCGGTCAGGTCTCTCTGCCAGTCTCCGAGGCCGATGGGACTCTGGCTCTGCCTCTTCCTGCGGTCCCGGGGCTGGGCCACATGGCACACAGCCGAAATACCTGTTCCATTATTCCCAAGAGCTCACTCCACTTTTCCGAGATAGCGTGAGTCGCTGTTTCTCGCAACTAGAAGAACTTAACGCACCCACCAATGTTTCTGGGTTCGGCTGGACTGAAGCCTTAAGCACGCAGACAGTTACGGCCCCCCGAGGCCCCCCACTGTGCGAGTGACTGTCAGTAAATGCAACGCTATTGACCAGACCCTTCCTGTAAGCCTCGGCCGCAGGATTACTTCATCTGAGCAATAAGCAGACTTCAAAACACAGGTAGAGTGCTCCGAGCTCCACGCCTGCTTTTCAAGTACCCTGCTGGATCTGGCAGACCACAGCATTTGTAAGAAAGAAATGTGTGGGAGGCGGGTAAAAGCGATCTACATGGCATGCAGACATACTTTGACTGACTTTTATTATCACAGAGAACATCAAACACTATTTGCTCCCACTATCATAAATTGCAAATGCAAACTTTAATTCTCCAGGCAAAAAGGATAATTATGAACACCACCAATATGGGAAAAATGCTTATGGTATAATATTAAGTGAAAAGAGTAGAATATAAATATATTTTCATGTTATGATCAAAATTCTTTAAATGTGATATATCTACATGAATAAGGCCTACTCAGGCAAAAAGGAACGTTGATGAGAAAAACGCTCTTGTCTTTTTCGACAGGAAATGGCGATGGAAAATTATGGCAGAAAAAGAAACCCACCAACTTGTTAACGTGGCTGCCCAGTTGAGACACTTCACTAAGGGAAACCAGGTACGAATTGGGCTTTTCAAAAATAGAGTGCAGGTTATTTAGAAAACAGTAGCTAAAGGCTCTCTAGGTCTCGGGCAAAGATGAAATAAGACAGCCGCCTTTCAACTACGTCACCAACACCAAACTGGCATCTGCACAGGAAAATGCCACTGGGCCCACCAAGCTGCCAGGGCCTGAGAAACGGTGCACCCTGGGCATCAAGTGCTCCACTGGCTGTGAAGGACCCCCTCATGAGCCTCGGTCTGAGGCCGCAGGGAAGCCCTAGGCGGTTACAAACTCTTGCGGAGAATCAAAAGGCTACAATTTGGAACTAAGATAAGCTGGATAAACTCCTCTGACAGTGAAAGTCTAGAAAAAAGAAAACCATTCTCCATCTCCAGGCTGTTCCCCCAGCTGTTCCACTTTACAGATGAGAAGACTGAGGTCCAGAGAGGAAAAGGAATGTGACCAAGAGGCCTTACAAGGCCCTGGACCTCTCTGCTCCCTGTCCCAGGTGCTTTCTGCTGCCCCTTGCTTGGGGGTGACCTCTATCAACCCCAGCTCCCGGAAGGGAACAGCAAAGCCCACAGTGGGCTCTGGTGGACCTCAATTAGAACATAAGCTCAGGTATAAAGGAGGCCGCTTCTGCTTCGCTTTGTGAAAGTAGTTCTAATAATGTCAGTGATGTGCAGAGGATTACTGACAAAGACAAGCGTGCAACTCCAGAGGGAGGGCGTGTGGTGGTAGTAATTCGGTTTCCTTGGTCAGCAGAGGAAAAAGCTCAAATGACTTTCCTAATTTTCTGATCTGAGTCTTTCCAAGATGGAGCTGGGACATGTGATCGTGTCCATCACCTCCCCACGGATTCTAGGTGAGGGGAACACCCGGGAACAGGGGAGCAATGGGACCAATGGGCTCAAGGCCCTCTAAATTCCGTCTCACTTTCTAAAATGAGGATAAGGAATGGGAAGGCATCATTGCTCCGAATGCCGAGCTAGCATTGCTAAATTTTAACTCTAGCTCTTTTCAAAGAAGAAGCAACTCACATCCTTGCTTGTAGCTATTGGGGTTACCACTTGCCCTTGGCCATAACTCTTAAGGGAAAGACTTGGCCAGAGGGCACTGATGCCCTGCATGACCTGGGCGGGGAGTGGGCATTCCAAGGGCCTATTAGGGCTGCTCCTGAACGCGGGAATCGGTCAGCTCAGACCGTGAACATCCTCAGCGTCCGCACAGCACACACACAGGTTCCACTGCTTCTCTGTGAATCGGGCAGCATTTTATACCAAAGCCAAAGGGAGCCCCCCAGAGTTGAGTTTCTGCGTTTACAAAGGCACCAACTGGAGGTTCCATGATCACTGTAGCAAATGTGCATCTTATTTCCACACCCACCCAAGGTCTGGGTTTTGGAGAATTCCCCTACTGGAACTCCCTGGTTCCCCAGGGCAGTTGTCATGGATGGTGCAACTCCCTTAGGAAAGACAAGACGAGACACCAAGAAGACCGAGACCGAAGCCCACGCCCTCCCCAGATGCCACGTCCACCGGTGGGCGCAGTGCTTACCTGGAACGTCAATCAGTCTCTTGTAGACATTCAAGAAGGCTGCCTCGGCTTCTTTGCTTCTTTTACTCAGTGCATCAATCTGAAAGGGGACGGAGGAAAGGAAAGAAAAACACAGGGCTCAGAATTTGTCATTAAAAATCGTTACACACCTAGCGAGTTCCCACGGCAAATGCAAATCTGATTCCTCCCTGGAGGAGCCAGACAACTGGGCCTTCAAGCTCAGAGAGTAAGAGCCTGCAACCTCACGAAGGGGAGACAGTCCCCACAGGTCTGGTTCTGAGGGTACACGAGGCAGCAGAGGCGCTTCGAGGGTCCGAAGCCTTCACCACACTCAGCGCCACTGCCCATCAAGTGGGGGCTTTCCCACATTTTCCACAGAGAAGCCGCCCGGCATGCCCTTCCCGGTCTCTTTCCTTCTTCTGTGAGCATTTTCTAAGAGCTGCCTGTGTGCCGGACGCTGGGCTGGAGGCGGGGGCAGAGAGGGGCAGCCCCCGGCCCCAGGAGCTCGTGGGCCAGGAGGGGAAACAGGTATGTTCCATCAACAAGGGACGGAGGCCCAGCTGGGAAGGTGCTGGGTGAGCAGAGCCATGGGGACATGGAAAGGGACAGGAAGCACGAAAGCACGTGACCTTTGAGGGGAGTCCTCAGGAACAGCTCACCAGCATGGGAGGTGAGACACTGCATGGAAGGGGAAGGACACATTTCCACACCAGAGCAAAGTTCTTAAACCTGGGGGCATCTCATAGATCCTCTTCAAGAAGTTTGTGAAAGCCAGGGACTCTCCTCCTAGACAGACAGACAGACAGACAGACACAGACACACACACACACACGGTCATGCACTCTACTTTAGGACACTCACATGTCCGCCTGTGTTCTGTCCATGGAATTGGGATTAAGAACCCATGGATGGGGCTGTAATACACCAGGGAATAAGGGGTGTCCGCTGCAGCGGGAACACGGATACATGGGGAGGAGCGGTGGGTGATGAGACTGGACAGCTGAGGGGGTCAGATCACGAAGAGCCATGAGAGCTCATGGAGGAGGAGGATGTTGATCATCTGGGAATGAGTCAGGAGGAAGGAGGGCAGGAGCGGGCAGAAAGGAGGTGGCCATTCAGAGGTTGCCGCCGTCGCCCAGGCAAGAAATGTGCGGGGCAGCGGCGGTGGGCATGGAGGAGAAGAGGCCAATCAGAGAAATTAGGGTCCATCTGAGTTGATGTGGAGCACAGGGGAGCAAGGCGGGTCAAGGACGGTGCCCAGGTTTCTAGCTGAGGCGGCGGGCGGGTTTCTGTGACGGCAGCCAGGATAAGTTTGTTTGGTGAACCAAGTCGGTGGGGCTAGCTTCCCTCCAGTGTAAAGTCCACTCATCAGAGACAGTGATATGTGAAACTCCCAGGCACAGGGACATGCGTCCGAGGAGCCTCTGACTGCGGGACGGGCTCAGTACACACTCTGAGCACACAACACACTTGCTGAGACAGCAGATCACTTTTTACACCCGAAGTGTGCAAGATGCTACATGCGCGAAGTTCATATTGACTCCGGAAAAGGACACTAAATTATATATTCCTTCTGTCCCCGCATGGAATTATACTCTCCGTCTCCAATGTTATTAAAGAGGCGAAAGGATGTGGTTTAATTACAGGGCCTCTCACCTGAGCCATCCCACCATCTGTGAAGGGCTGAGAGTAGTCACCTGACTGAGGACAGGAAGGCCCCGGGGAGGGGGACACAGGGCTGGCGGGGCCAGGTCTTGGGAATCCTGGGCAGAGCACACAAGGGCCACACAGGCATCTCCAACTTCTAACAACTGTGCTCCGAAGTTCCTATCAGAAGTCAGCTGTCTGGAACTCACATTTTTTGCCCCCATAAAATACAGCTGTGATTTAGGTGTTGGCGATGTTTTCAGAATAACCCACAAGGACTACTTAAATAGAGCAAGACAGTTCTCTCTTTATTTTTAAAGAAAATGTTTCCCCCCTCTGATTATTAGCAATTCATGCTCATTGTATAATTAGAAAAATATCAAAAATATAGAGGAGAAAATGAAAATCCTAACTCTGCCATTCACTGGTGGAAGTCATCTTTGTCTGGCCTGTATTTCCGGTCATTTTTTCTGAGATAAGAAAGCTATCTAGTTGAATGAAATATAGGCATAAAGCGAACTAGAGCCAGAGAGCTGACCGGAGGCTGTCCAGGGCTGCGGGGGGAGGACAGAGGTTTGGAGGACGATGACCAAGGGGTGCAGGCTTTCTTTTTGGGGTGATGAGATGTTCTACAACTGACTGTGGTGATGGTTGCACAACTTTGTAAATATAGTAAAAGTCAATGAACTGTAGACTTTAAATGGGTGAATTATATGGTATGTGAATTATACTTCAATCAAGCTGTTAAAAACATGGTGTATTTGAAAGCAAACCATATGTACAATTTTGTATTGTGCTTTCTTTCACTCACATATCATAAATCTTTTTCATCTCTTACAAAACTTGGAAAACGTCTTAATAGTACTATTTCAACAGTACCAAGCCACCACATATATAGACGTTTTGAGTAAAAATGGCATTGGAGTGGCCTCCCCGCATGTCTGGGAACACCCGTTGCGTTCTGGGTCTTTCTGTCACCTCCTGAGAGCACCGTGCCTGTGGGAGCAGGGTCTCTGCCCAGAGAGGACAGATGCCAGGGCTGCTCTCTGAACCTCTGGACCCTCAGAGGCTTCTCCACTCGGCTGAGGATCTGCCTGGGGAGGGTCCCTCGTTGACTGAGTGTACAGGGTGGCTGCCTCTGGGGTGGGCAAAGGACGGGATCTGGAAGGATCCTGAAACGCTGTGCTCTCTCATCCTGTCTGGGTTGTTGATGCGGATGATGGGTGGGGCTGGTAAGCTACACAGCACACTCGGGGACTGTCACGGGTTGAATTGCGTTCCCCGAAGATGTCGAAGTCCTAATCCCCAATACCTGTGAATGTGACCTAATTTGGAAATAGGGTCTTTGCACATGATCAAGTTAACATGAGATCACTACGGTGGGCCCTAGCCCAGTAAGACTGTGTCCATATAAAAAGGGGAAATTTGGACCCAGAGACAGTCATGCACACGGGGAGATAGCCATACGATCACGAAGGCAGAGATTAGGGTGACGTGTCTACGAGCCATGGAGCACCAAAGACTGCCAACCAACTCCCAGAAGCTGGGGAGAGCGGCCTGGGACGGATTCTCCCTCGGAGCCGTGAGAAAGAACCCGCTCTGCTCGCACCTCGAGCTCGGACTCCCGGTCTCCAGGACGCTGAGGATCAAACGCCTGTTGTTGGGCCGCTCAGCGTGCGGCGCTGTTACAGCAGCTCCAGCAGATACGGGGCTGTGATTCTGAGCCCTCTTCCTGGCCTCTTTTCCACAAGTGCAAGAGAATTAAAACCCAGGCCTGAGAGAACAGGGTCAGACCAATGAGTTTAATTAATTCATTAAGCAACTGGACTACGAGGTTTCTTAAGAGAGATGACGAGTCCTCCACGTGTGGCTGAGCTTCCACTTGGTGACGTCTCCCCAGTCCCCTTATAAACAGATTTCCAAACCTGGAAGGACTTGTTGATTCTGGAAACTCTGACACTTTCCATGCTCGTCCACTCTTTTGACTCCCCATACTATGGCCACCAGCCTCATCCGAGATCAGGCCTCGGAGCCTGAGTTTTGGTCTATGCTCTGCAGCTCCATCTTTTCTGCGATGGGCTGTCCCTGCTGCCTGGGACTTTCTATCGCCATGTGGTCACTTTCTTGACCACTCTTCGTGCCCACTGAAGACCTATTCATGCTTCAGGACCCAGGCAGGCTCCACTGCCCCCGGCCTGCACAGGCAGGGTGCCCTCTGGCTGGCAGGGCTCTGAGCTTGGAGAGCGGTTAGATGACCTCACGCGGGTAAAGCGTTCAGCGTCTGGCACAGGGAGGGTTACCTGACAGTGACTCTCATGTGCTAGAGCTTTCCTCCAGGTGTCAAAGCAGCTACAGCCCGGGAAGCAGGGTCCTGTCTGTCTCCCCTACCATTCTGTGAATGAGGGAGGAAAGACAGTGTCCCCTCATCCTCATGCCCTTCACTCTCCACGCCTGTCTGCGAAGGTGCTCTGCGGGCCTCTGAGATGGCAGCCAGGCTGGGCGCAGCGGCCGTCACACGAGGGGAAGAGATGGGTCTCAGGGCAGGATGGTTCAAAGTAGGATCCCAGGTTAGATGTTCTGGCTATTTACGTGCAAGATGGCCTTAGGTAGAGATTCCGCCTGCCGTCCCCACCCTTAAAAGCCTCTGCGGAAGGGCAAGGACAGAGGTTCCAGTGATGGTGGCACTGGGGCAGATCAGGAGAAAAGCTTTGATTGCACTCCGGCCCTGGCCCCAGGGAAAACCTGTTCTGCTCCAGGAATCAGCCTCACCTCCGGCCACGCCTCACGCTCCAGCCCCACCCAGCTACTCCCTGTTCCCTGAATACACGAGCAATTTCCGAGCAGCCTGGAAGGCGCCTCTTGGAATGTTCCTCTGATCCTCTAGGCTCAGCTGACCCATCTCCCGGGGCGGGCGGCCACTCCCATCCCCATATGGGACTGGCCCAAAACGCCAGGACCGCAGAAAGACTCCCTCAGGAGATCCTGAATTCCTTGAAAGCCACACTATGCTTCTGTGGCAACCGCTTTTCCTGCCAACGTTGCACACAGTAGGTGTTCACTACGTGTTTATTGCGTGAATGAAAATCTACTAAAACTGGTCAACTGATCCGCAGAAGTGAGCAAATGCTTAAGTATCCAGTTTTAAATCTTTATGAAAAGGCTTAATATGTAAAGAGCTCTTTGTTTTAAGCATTTGCTTCATGTGTTGATAATGACGACAACTACTTGGCCGGAGCCTGCGCACTGGAAGCATCTTTTCCGGCTGCACACACGGGAGCGGAGCGTGCTCTCTCCTGCAGTGAGCTGTGAGCCTCTCTAGCAAGATGCCCACGGCCTTCCTGCCAAGTTTCCTGGACCCAATGGGTATCCTTTCAGCAGCATCACTTTTATAATGCTGAGTTCGTTCTTCTGCAATAATTAAATTTAAAGATA